AATGATTTACACTGTGCTCTGATTGCCCGTGGCAGACGCCATGAGAGGCATCTAGCCCTGATTCCCTGTTTAGGTTTTTGTTCAGCCACAGAACTTGGTTTTTGTACATTTGCTTAGAGATGGATCAAAGCCCCCTGGCAAAACTGATGAAGCTATGTTGTTCTAAAATGATACTTTTCAAGGTAAATAATACTTCGCAAAAGGAACAGAGTAAAAAATAAACATATATAAATTATCAGAATATTACATAAAAGTTAAAGATTAAAAAAAAGAAAAAAAAAAAGAAGGTTGCTGCTCAGACACTTGATAGAAAATAAATAGAGAAAGCGTAGACAGGTAAAAAGAAAAAAAGGATTAAAAACCCTGGAAATCTTTAATCAGAGAATTCAATTCCTATGCCTTAGGTTTCATTAAAAAGTAATTTCAGGGGCTGGATTCTGGTTTGTTGACTCCAAACTGCCCTGTCCTTACTCCAATTTCAGTTGGAATTCCTACTCTTTTCCTGTAAAATGAAAGCGCTGAGAGGGTTGGAGGAACATTTTCTCACAGTCTCTCTCAAGTAAGTGTTGTAAATTTTCTGAGGGATATTCCATCACATAGAGAGAAGTGATAGGACCTGGTATCTCAAGTTTGGAAGATCCTGATTGAAGTGTATGGCCAAGGTTGCAAACCCAAATATTTACTGGAGCCAGAAGTTCCTTTTTCATAAGCAATTTAAACATCCATATTTTTACAAGAAATCACCTGATATTAAAAGCATTGACACACTTTGTTTTAATAATATGCAGATCTGGGAGCCAGATTTGGTTTGTGTTCATCAGTTTGCTAAGTATGTTCTGAGGGTTAGTATTTGTCTTGTTTTTTTTTTTTTTTTTACTATATAAGTGATATGCTCAGAAGGCAAAATAATGGTTATGGTGACAAACATTATGTACTAAGTACTTTGTGGGCACTGAACTTATCTCAAATTACCCTTTTAATAGCACTGATAGTTAGCTAGTATTGTTTGCCCATTTTGCAAATGTGAACATTTAGTGACACAGAGATCAAGAAACTAGTCCAAGTTACATAGCTAGTTAAGAGTTTTTATCCTTATTTATTCATTCATTCATTCATTCATTCATTCATTCATTTTGGAGCTGGTCGGTACAAGGATTGAACTCTGGACCTTGGTGTTAACAGCACTATGCTCTAACCATCTGAGCTAACCAGCCAGCCTGCACTCTTAACCATACTATGCATAGAATATCTTAGAATCTGAAGTTACATGTGGGTTTTTTGTTGTTTTTTTTTTCATTGTCTTCTACTCATCTTCCTTAGTAAATGTTTAAGGCTAGTGCTGCTCAATAACCACTATGTGGAGAGTCATACTATGCATAGAATATCTTAGAATCTGAAGTTACATGTGGGTTTTTTGTTGTTTTTTTTCATTGTCTTCTACTCATCTTCCTTAGTAAATGTTTAAGGCTAGTGCTGCTCAATAACCACTATGTGGAGAGCGATTCTTAATTTGGTACCACTGTGGCCTAAAAAATATCTGTTTCTATGATCCACAAACAGTCCTTTGACATTGTAGGAAATACTGTGCTTTTGAGATTTTCAGAATAGGTTGGGTGGTCTTGAAACGACAAAACTGACACTTAACAGTTTTCTCTGGTTGCCTCCAGAGAGAGTCTTGAATTTCATCAAGGGAATATTTGCAAAGCATACTCTAAATTGCATTTGCATAGCTTTTGAGTATGGAATTCAGACACAGATTTTAAATACCTTAAAATCTGTAAGGAAATATACTGTTGAAACAACAGTAGAAAAAACATCTAGGGGGATGCCACCCCTATTGTCATGAACAAGGAAGGACATCTCCACTCTCGTGTCTGTGAGTGTGCAGGTAAAGGGCTAATACATGTGTCACAATGCCAGGGTGACAAGAGATGTATGTCTACATACGAAATCCCATGACTCCTGTGAGGGTCCCATTTCCAGGCCTAGTCATGCCTGTCCATTCTGAGTATGTCAACCAGGGTTCAACAGTTTCTTCACAAGGCACATTCTTAACATGACAATTATTTGGATACTCCCAAGAGGCAGCTTATCAAAGAAAACTGGGACCCACATGCTCTGCTCAGTTAACAAATGATATACTATTATACCACTTTATGTGTTTTCAGGAACTGATTTATATATTTATTCCAAGGCTTTTTTGGATACATTTTAAACACTGCCTACCTGATAGCTCCTTTTCAATATCTAAGATGCATCTCTCATATTAAGTGGCTAAAATGGAATTTTTCCCACTTTCTAAAGCTGTTTCCAGTCATCCTCAAGATGGTTATGGTGGTAAGACATCCACCAGACACTCAAGGAAAAAACCTGAGACTATTTCTCAATGCACCTTCTCTCTCAGACTCCACACATCTCACGTAACTTTTCTAACAACTTCCTGTTCTCAATCCATAATACACTGCAGACGAACCCACTTTCCTCCACCTCCACAGCCACCATCTCAGTTTCGGCTCTATCACTTCTTCCCTAGAATTCTAGAAGAATCATTTTCCCATTTCCCCAGTTTGTTTCTTGCCCCTCCAAACACTTATCGATATGGAAGCCGAGTGAATTTTTAAAACTGGACTTTTTTTTTTTTTAGCTCTTCTAAAACATTACATTCATTCTCAACATGCTGTTTCCTCTGCCTGAACGTCCTCTACGCTGCACCTGGCTGATTCTTCTCACCCTTCACGTTTCACCTTAGATGGCAATTCTCAGAGAATTCTTCACCACCTCCCTAGTCCAAAGACAGTCTTCCTGTTTTCTTATACTTACTTTCTTCTAACGAACTTACTGCAATCTGTAACTCTATGTTCACATATGCATTTATTTATGTAACACTATACTGTACCGTCTAATACTCTAAGTTTTAAAGTAGGGGGATTTTTTTTTCCTAATTCAGTTTACTGTCAGTGTGAGATCCAATAGAAGCTCAGGGCATGAGCTAGAGAGCAACTCAGTTATTATTTAAGGCATGAATATTTCCATATTTCTGCTTTCTAAAGTTCTAGCAAATCTTAAAATTCATTAGGGAAACTTCAAGATGTCATCTAAATTCATCCGAAATAACTCAACACACATGGAATCCAAACACCCACAAGCAGACATTCATTTCTACTGCTTTCACCACCAAACCATCATGAGTTGCAAGAGGTCATCACCCATATCGTAGGAGCAAAGTAATGTTCAAAGAATTGTCTGGTCCCACTGTGCACAGGACTGAAGAAGATAACAAACTGAGTGCTTCAGTTTAGACAGAGAAGGTAGCTGCCTATGAAAATTGCTTTATTGACTACAAATCTGACCAAAATACTCTAGAATGACTGAGGACACAGCATGCTACAAGCTCCGTAAGAGAAGTACTTTGTCCCTTTCCTCAGCACCGAGAACAAAGTAAGGGCAGACAGTCTTAAAGGAATTAATGAATATATGTATAAATATAAATATAAATATGTATATATATAAAACTAAAGGAAGGAAATAAAGAATTTTAAGTGAAAACCATCAGACAAGCTTCTGACAACAATCTTCTTAATGATCAATTTTCAGAACAACCCTCTAACTGCCATAGGTTTATTTCTGAGTCAGGCAAAATACAGGGACACGTTCTCACTGTTTTATGCATTCAGATCTGGATGGCAGATGTTTCCAAACAGCACACTATCTATTCTCCACCTCTTGTACACTTATGCACCTCCTGCAGAGACAACCACAGCAGTATCACATTGAGAAAAACCTTACCATGCGAGTGACTGAGCCTCGCCTGCATCCGCGGGATAAGGTAATGTCATGGGCAAGTGAGTCAGAAACACTTTAGTTCAAACCTCAGTCCTGCCACTTACATGTAACACAGTCTCTCTAAAGCTCTGTTTTCTCATCTGTAAAATGGGGATAAATAACAGCACCTACTTCACAAGGTGGTTGTGAGCATTCAATGAAACTGATTAGTATAATGCCTGAATGTAGGAAGACTTAGTATATTACAGTCTTACTAATAATGTTAATAATAATAAGAGCTGTGTTAATCTTATGTTTCCTTTATTTGAGAAGAAAAGAGCAGTATGACTGGACTGAGTACTGACATCGTACTCCTGGATGCAAAAAATTCAGATTCCAGCTCTGCTGTTTGCCTAGCTATGTGAATTAGGCCATTCTTTTAACCTTTTCTTCACACTGGATTCCACATTTTTCTAGCAAGTCAGTGAGGTAAGCTTTCTATCCCAATATTGCAGGTAAGAAATTAAAGCTCAAAATGACTAATATGAGTGTCTTGTGACATAAGTGTCCAGTAAGTGGTAGCCAGTGTCATTTCTATACAAATGGAAGGATGTCACCTGCCTGTGAGAGCAAAATCAGCTTCATTTTACAAATGGGAAGGAAAGCAAACTCAGAGGCAAAAAAATGCACATATGATAACAGCCTTGCAGAGTCATTTACATATATGGAGGTTGTCTTAATTATCATTAGTATTACCTATTAATTTTTCTTTTCTGATCTCTAGGGAAACTACAACCTACAAAATTATAGTGGGTCAGTATGAGTAATAAACTCTGCTGACACTCAAGTGTTTCCTCAATTTTGTAATTTTGTCTCCTGGCCTGTTGACCTATGTCATGAATAGCTACAATGGACTTTCCAAATGGTGGACCCAGACAAACTGGAATAATCTAAAAGGTACTCCTGCTATATTTCTTAGTGTTCATGAAAACCAAGGGTAGCAGTGAAAGGTAGGCATCCAAACATAAAAATTAATGCATTCTCTTGGAGGCCAACTGGATCTCTATCCTCTTCCCAAAAATGGAGTTATTGTCTTCTCCCTTTGCACTTTGAAATCTTGCCTCATAGAGAACAAATTTGAGCTAGAAGGACTGGAGTTCTTTTAGCTAGCTCAAGTGGAATCATTGCTACCTGTGTAGCGAGAAGCATAGAGAACTGAATCAACAGAAGGGGCTTACTTCAAAGACTAGCGTCTCGTTTGTGGGCCCTGGTGCATACAGGCGTTCCGGGCGGTTAAGGGAGCGCTGGTACTCAAACGTGGTCCCGGCAAAAGGGAACTCCCCAGGCCAGTCGATGCTCCAGCCTCCTGTGAGGTAATACTTTTGACTGAGGCTGCGAACTGCAAGATAACTGGAGGAAATCTGCAGCTCCTGGATTTCGATGCTTCGGGCCCCAGCTGGAATGATGACCACCGGATAATACTCTAAATGAAAAGAACAGAACATTTCTGTATTCTACATTGTGCCTTGGAGAAAGGTGACTAGAAATGCCCAGAGACATGCAGTGTCCACTTTTATAGAGTGGGGTTTTCAAATCATCAACTGACCTTCATTCTTATTCTATGAAGTAAATAAGATCAATTTTTTTCATTTTCCAAGGGATAGGAACACCAGAGAAAGAAAATGTATGTGGCTTTCCCAATGTCTTACCAAGAAGGTTTTTGTGGACAGAAGATAAACTCTTCTCCTTTCCAGACCAATAAAGACTACAAACTTAAGAGTACTTTTTTTTTTTTTTCTAAATCTACCTAGAAGAAACTTAAGAGCCATGTATCCTCAACAGTGATATTCAGAAAACAGGGCTCAAAAGTTTAATTTTACCCAAAATGTTTATATAATTGCTTCAAGTATTTATTTAATGCTGTGGGTATAGATCATCTAAGGTTCACAATAGGTTTCTTTGTTTAACAGATGCATGTGGGGCATATGACAGCCTGGTCAGCCTATTAAAACTGCAAAGTAAGAAGGCATTCCTTTAACACATTTCTGAGATGTAATGTATTCACAAAACACCTCACACGAACAAAACATCTATCCTCCCTTGCTTTTGCACTAGTGACAGAAGCCATCATCATTAGTATGTCAGGCGACTTACAAAAAGGCTCAATCACATTCAGTGTGACTCATACTTGTTCAGCAGCAAAAGTTGTATAACAATGAAACAATGGTATCTCTTACCATTTGCTTTATGCTGGTCGAGGTACAGGCCTTTATAAAATTTGCAAGTTGAATTATCACCTTTACAAATACCACATGCATCCAAAACTGCTTTAGAGCCAAGTTCGTGATCACATCCCACTGGCTGAGACCAAAAAAAAAAAAAAAAGGTGAGAAAATCAAAGATCAGAGAAACCAGTAGCTGCAAATAATTAAGAGGTACATGGTTTTCTGTGTTTTCAGAATATTAGGGAGTAAGTACAGCTTATTGTTAAAAGCACAGTCTCAAGTTAGACTGACTTGGGGGTTCAAATCCATCCCTTGACATTATTACATATGTGACTGGGCAAGCTGCATAACTTATCCAAGGCTTAGACTCTTCATCTGTGAAAACGGAATAAAAAGTCACCATTGCTACTAATGCCAGGTGAGTTTATTCAGGCCAGCTCTATGACTGAAACATAAAAATGCTGGACAATACAAATGCATGTGGGTACACACACATGTATATACTCTTATTGAATCAAACAGCTCACAACTGAATTAAAATAAAAGAGAAAGTGAGTACCCACAGAGAAAGGAAAAATAATTGGAATTAAAAATATTTGGAAATAGTAGTACTATTTTGAAATACATTCGTGAAGTTCTAACCATACAGTGGATGTACTTAGTAAATGTGCAAAAAAGTTTATTATCGTTCATGTTCTTTAATTTTCACTATGTAAAGTGCAGGATATAGGATCCCGCCGTTCTATATATGTGGAAAGGGAGTGAAAAAGACACTAACATAATTTCATGGGGTCATGCAAAAAAGTAACTGGGGTATTTAGAGATGGTGCTCACATCCAAGTTGAACATTTTGCCCTTTCTCCCTATGTCACCTGCTTTCTCCAGAGTCTCTTGCAACACTCTGCACCGTATACATTTGATATGAGGAAACACAGCATGATCATACACCACAAAGCAGAAATGTTCTCTTACTTCACAAATCCCATCAATACAAACATCATTTTTGTTTGGAGAACAAAGAGTTCCATCTTTCACCTTGCCGGACATTGCAAAAAAGAATTCAAAGTTCTCAGCCTTGCAGTACAGTTTACATCGATCTTCCTCTAGAAGCAAAGAGATCAAGGTAGGACATGGTCAAGAGGAAGTCGTAAGGGAAATGATATGACCATCAAAAGGAAAGAGAAAGCTACCATGATCAAAAGAGAAAATGTTACGGACAGTTTTGTGCATATGTGTGCACATATGTATGTGGTTTTTAAAAATATGAATCCCATGTAACAATCCATATAAAACTGATTGAATATTAATACATAATTTTATTTTTCTAATCCTTAGTGGTAGTCACCATACACATGATTGGTGGCTTGTGTAGCTAGCCTCCCTGGATAGTTAACATTTTAGGCTTTGTAGGCCCTATGGTCAGCCATTGGCATTATGATGAAGGGATATTGCTGTGTTCCAGTGAAACTTAATTAAAAAAAAAAAAATATCCAGATTTCACCCACAGACCATAGTTTGATGACTGCTATGTGTTAAATGTGTCCCCCAAAAGTAGTTTCATGTCTTGGAAACCTAATCTCCATTGGCACAGTGTTAAGAGGGTGGGAAATCCTATTCTGATAATTGAAAAGTGAGGCCATGAACAGATTAATCCATTCATGGTTTAACGGTTGGTCATGGGCATGCTGCTGATGGCTTTAAAAGGACCAGCAAGTGAGGAGGTTAGCTCCCTTGCTCAGCCCATTCTCACCATGTGACACCTATGACTCTGTGGAGAGTTCTCACCAAGAAGGCCCTCACCAGATGTGTTTCCTGGACTTTGGACTTTTAGCTTCTAAAGTGTAAGAAATAAATTTCATTTCTATATAAATTACCCAGTTTCAGGTATTCTGTTATAAGCAACAGAAACAGACTAACACAATGACCCAGATTTAAGACATGAATTACTTTAGACACTTATTCAGTCTGTTAAAAGGAAAAGCTTTAGGTATTTTGGAAAAAAGGGATATGGTCAGGAATGTCTGTAAAAACATACAGAGAAAAATCATATCATGAAATGGAAGAGGAAGCAAATAAACTAAAGTTGAAGGCTAAAAAAGTTATCTTTTATTGACTAGTAAGTCCCTGAGAAGTTTCTGGTATCACAGGCAAAAAGAAAAAAATATATTTAGGGCCGGCCCGGTGGTGCACTCGGTAGAGTGTGGCGCTTGGGAGCGCGGTGGCGCTCCCGCCGAGGGTTCGGATCCCATATAGAGACCGGTCCGCTCACTGGTTGAGCGCGGTGCGGGCGCGACACCGAGGGTTGCGATCCCATTGCCAGTCACCAAAAAAGACGAAAAGGAAAAAAAAAAAAAAAGAAAAAAATATATTTATAGAGCTCTTGTTATCAGAAAGGAGTTACTGTGCCAATTTCTCAAATAGAAAAAGCTGTTCTTGGCCAGGAATTCCAGATGATGTTTCTCACATGAGACCTTGTGGGGGTGACATGGAGAGATATCCTTAACAACAGCTTTACAACAAATGTGTAAATAATTTGCAAATACTGGTGCTCATAAAACCTCTCAATAAAAGCCAAAGTCAAAACTTAAATGTAAAAGAAATTGATTATAGTCCAAATATGCAGATATATGGATGGATTAAAAGTTTCTCTTTCACCTACAATTTTTTTTAAATAGCTTTATTTAGTACCTTCTAACTTTTCATATGAGATTAGTGAGTTGAATGACATGAGTATATGTTCTCTCTTTTCTCTGTCATTCCCTGGAATTAACATATTCTAGAAAGCCTTTTTCTAGCACAGATTCCTAGTCAAGTGTCTGAACTAGTCCATTAGAAACACAGAAGGAAAGAAGAAGAAAAAAAGCTCGCTACTATAAGCAAAGACTGTCTACATTTGTGAATAAAATCTTCCTTGTTTTTCCCGAACTGCAGGAATGTCACAAGACCTTCAAGTCATGGTCAGTCTCTTCTGATATAACTGTCAAATGGAAAAAAGAGAGGGATAAGAAGGCCTTAAACTTTCTGTCTCTCTCCAGTAGGACATGAGACCCTAAGGCCAGGGACAATATTTTAATTAATGCACTTTCCTATGCATCTAACCAAGTGTCTCCTACACAAAACAGCTCAGTAAACGTCTGTTGAGTGAACAAATAAAATTGCACACTTCCTACTTAGTGAAAACTGCAATAAATATAGTGAAAGAACTTTGAAACCAAAAAGCATTTTCCAAGTTACAACATTTATTTATTTAACTTTCTCTTTATGTATTCAACACAGAAACCTATTTAAAGGGTGACAACAGAAGAGAGTCCATCAACGCTATATTTGAACGAAAGATGTACTGTGGGAAAGGCCAAGGAGTATCTAAAAAGCCAAAGCAAAAAAACAGAAGGAGAGGGGAAAGGAAAGACAACAGAGTATTGGAGCATAAACCGCAGATCAGAAACATGGGATTACAGCTGTCTACAACCAAGGGAAATAAGTCTGCAAATGTCAGAACTGGAAGCAACTGCAGCTATCCTGTCTAACTGTCCACCAGAACATGCTGTGGAGCATATTTTCTAGGTAATTACTCAGTTCCTTCTCGAGTGCGTCTAGTGATGGAGAGCTTACTACTTTTTTTTTTTTCCTTTTTTTGTCTTTTTCCGTGTCCGGCAACGGATCGCAACCCTCAGTGTCGCCCCCGTACTGGACCGGGACTGGCAACGGGATCGCAACCCTCGGTGTTGCTCCCGCGCCTCGCTCAGCCAGTGAGTGGGAACCGGTCTGTATGTGGGATCCGAACCCTCGGCGGGAGCGCCACCACGCTCCCAAGCGGAGCACTATAGCAGTGCGCCACCGGGCCGGCCCCTACTTATAAAGGGAACATGCTTCCATTTTGGACAGTTAATATGTATTTGTTTGTTTATTCATAGCCGGTAAATAAATATATACAAAGTGCTGTTTTTAGATGCTAGAGATACAAGCATGCTCAAGACCCACAAAGACTTTGTCCTTGTGGAATCTCAATTCTTGTGAGAAGAAAGATAGAAAGTGATAGATAAAAATTAAATCCATGCACTGATAAGAGCTATGAAGACAAGTGGGGTACAGAGTTCAGAGAATGACATTCTGATAGGTTGGCAAGGAAGGTCTCTCTGAGAAGATAATATGGCTAGAAAATTCTTAGCCCTTGAATTAATTCTGTTCTCTGAGGCAATTTCAAACAAAACTAAAACCCCTGCTATTCAATATCTCTTTGAATGTTTGAAAGTACCCAGTTTCTTTTTTACAGTAAACACCCACAGGCCCCTCGTCACTTCCTCCTGAGACACACCTTTGGAATGTTCATGTCTGCGGCTCCCTGCACTTCAGAACAAATAGTCATGACCCAAAAGCAGATCGTGGCTCCTATAGTGGCTGGTCTGGTGTTGAGCAAAGTTACTATCCTCCCTTTTGACTTGGAAGCTCTACTTGTTATAATGATGTTTCTAATTACATTAGTTTCCTTTATGGTAATTAATAATGTAGGTTTGCTTTGAGCTTTTGCACAGGAACAGCCCGTGAACTGTCATCACCGTTAGCCTCTTCCCGTTCTACACATGTGTAGTTGGGATTCACGTGGATCTTTTTTCAAGGCAGCATGGCCGAGTTTTGCTAAATCAAGCGCATGGAAATAATAGAAACAACTAGAATAGTGACAGCTTATTCTACATAGATAATAGAAAATACATTAAATTCTCCTATTGTAACTAAATGTTTTGGTATTTAGCCAAAACAAAAACCGTTTAGTTTAAAAAGTAATATAAGTCATAACTTTAAGTTGTAAAAAGTACTGAAAACACAGTGGAAAGAGATTTCTGTTATTTATTATTATTTTACGGTTGTCTACACACAGGCCTTCCATGCTTGTAATCCTCTGACAATGTCAGTTACTGAGTATGGTGTCTCTATGGGGCATATATGGTTTCAGGAGTTTTTGGTCTGGACAACTCACACTAATTTCAATTAACATCCCTGGGAGATTTAATTGTTGAAATGTCAAAGGTAAGTTTAGAAACATAAGTACATTCAAACACATGAACCTTTTGGCTTACAGATGTGGGAGACAAGGGGTGTCTTATGAAAAAAAAAAGGGGTGGGAAAATAAACAAAACCTATGGAACTTAACAAAAAATTGGGCCAAGATGGGTCTGGGGAATAAAAGATAAATGTTGAAACATTTTTACATAAGCAGCAATTTCTTCTGTGTTGTTCATTCACGTTATTGTCCACAGAGACATATTTATTCAAGTGTCATAGAGAGTGAATTACCTTCCACTTTCATGTAGGGTTTCCACTGGTAGAACCATCCACGGAAAGGTTTGCTGTTATATTCTGCACACTGCTGGGCTCGAAAATCCAAGCTATTTTCATTACAAGGGTTAATGTTGCACAGCTGATAAATACGGCTAGAACCTGGACAGAACTTGCCACCATACTGAGGCCTAAAAATAAAATTAAAGAACCTTAATGCTAGCAATCTAAGGGCTCACTAGTGTCACATTCTATAATACAAGGTGTCCGCAGGAAGTTCACGGAAAGATTCATATTATCTTTTAATTCCATTTTTCCACTAAAGTTATTTTTTTTTCTTTTTCTTTTTTTTGTGACCAGTAAGGGGATTGCAACCCTTGGCTTGGTGTCGCCCGTACCACGCTCAGCCAGTGAGCGCAGTGGCCATCCCTATATAGGATCCGAACCCACGGCAGCTACGCTCCCAGCGCCGCACTCTCCCGAGTGAGCCATGGGGTCGGCCCTTTCCACTAAAGTTTTGAAGTACCCTCGTAGAAGGAGGAATAAGCAAGCTGAGCAGTGTCATAATGCAAGCAGTTGAATACAATCTATTCTAGGAATGGAGATATGTAGTGTACAACTCACCACATCCCTTCTTTCATCCATGACAGATATAACTAATCAATCGGAGAATTGATTTTCTTTTTTCTCAACATAGCCTTTAGTCAACCACTATTGCTGCTTATTAATCGGAATTGGCATGCTAGATCAAACTTACTTGCCATCCCTGATCTAATTTTTACATTCTGTCAATTTCCTTAAAGACTGATAAAAGGATATTAGCACTCATTGCATTAGCTCATGTGTTAAGGAAGTCTGTAAACACATCTAAAAGTTCTTATTAATGTATATGTATGCTTGTGTTCCACACACATTCATACCCTATATGTTGGCATCAAAAGCTCTTCAAATGCAAATCCAACCAACAGCTCCAGCTTTCTCCCATCTCCTAACACTCTCCTCACTTCCTACACTTTGCCATGCACCTGCTGCTCAGGACACTGGGCAGAAGGAACAGAAAGTATCCTTTGCCATGTTCTCCAATCCAGCTTTGTCAAGATGATATTTTGATTATTATCTGACTCTTGTGTGTTTTATTCCAATTGATTCTAAACTCTAAGGGAAAACATTCCCTTGTTTTTAATCAGTATAATCAATTTTAACTTTGCAGGTGGCCTACTCCTTGCCTGCCAAGCACAATGGGAAATGGATTTCCAGAGTAGGGAATCCCATTAGCACATAAATAATTATGATATAATAACAAGCTCTTTAAAATCTTGGTAGGCAGATTCCAGTCTGCAAAAATCAGAAAGCAAAATAAAGAAAAAAAGAACAAAAACACAGTGGAAATTACCCATAACATCTTACACAGCTTACTCCATGCACAGAGCAATCGCTTCTTTTCACTCTTCCCTTTTTGTAGTTTTCTACAAAGGCGAAAATTCAACTATAGATCATCCTGCATAAACACTCGATGCCAAAATGTTACATGAAAGGAAGCTCCAGGTTAATAAATTTATGTGATTAAAATTCCTTGTCTGTTTAGGAAGCACAAGTATGCCATAAAACACCCCTGGATTTGCTTCGGCATATTTTATCAAGTCCTCCTACAACTGCATGCTAAAATGGATTCAACAGAAACTGGAAGTGTCACGCTGCCAGAATGAGATTTTTATGTTATTTCAAAACATTCTGCAGCAACTACTTAAACATGCAGCAGCCATTGTGCTAGATCAAGTCCCTGAAGACTTCTTAAATTATTATCTAAAAAGCATTTGGAAAAACTTTAATGTGCCATATCATAGCCTCAATATTCCTGGACATCATCTCAGTTTAAGACTTTGCTGTCTGAGATTTAACAAATAACCCTCATTTGGACTATTTATATTTAATAAAGTGAAATAGGACCACACTGTGTTACTTTTTCAACTCGCAGAACTTGTAACATGGAAAAGACCTCTAAACTTAAATAGCTATCCCTGCATTTTACAGTCAAACAGAAAAACAGCAAAGCTTGCAGAATGATGGTCACAAGGCTACAGACAGAGCAGAAATCAACTGCAGACCTTTGGACTCTGTCCAGGATTCTTTTCCTGCTCAACTATGCCTGAATTTAACTGTTAGGCCATAGTGGCCAGTCATGGGAAGAAAGAGGAAGAGACAGTAATGCACAATAGTTAGGGAGTTGGACTTTTACAATAAGGCAGACCTAGATTTAAATATTCTCTGCCTCTTCCCAGATTGACTTCAGGCAATTTTGATCAACCTCCTCCCCATCAAAATGGGGACAGTTGTGACAATTAACTGATATAATACTCATAAATAGTTTAGGGCAGTATCTAGGACAGAATTAGCACAAATAAACTATTACTACTTTTAAATGCTTTATACTTTTTATATTAAATGCCCACACTGTGCTGAGTATCATGCAATCTGGTTTTGATATACTTACATATTTCATTTTTTTTATTAGCCGATAAGATCAAAGTGATCAAAAGTAATGACTGGCAAGAATTGGAGCTTTTCTATAAATCCTCAAACGTAGGTACATTTTTCTGGAGCTTTAAACATGAGTATTAGGATACATTAACAGAAAATTCTACCATGATATCCCTTGGTGTGATAAGGTTTTATGATTAAAGATAAAAATAGAAACAGTCAGAAAACAAAAGTCTAGGCACGTGGTTTTGTCCTTATGTTAAACTACTATAAATTGGACCTGTATTTGCTTCTGCCTAATTTATCAACTACAAATGGTTATAAGGTTGGTTGTCTGGATGCTCATTAGAATTACTTGGGGAGCTTAGTTTGAAAAAAAAAATTATACAGATTCTTGGGGTCTTCCACAGACATTCTCAATAATAATAATATATGATGTGGAAGATCCAGAAGTCAGTGTTTTTTAAAGTACACCTGGTATTTCTGATAATCAGCCAAACCTGGAAATTACTGGTTGTAAAATCGGCCACAAGTTTGACTTAATTATTATTCTGAAGCCGAGACCTTCCTCCATTTGCTATGTTTCATGAGAGTAAGTGGTATATCATTCTTTCTTAAATAGACTTGTGTTTTAGGAAAGTTCTAGAACACCTTAGCACATCACTAATAATTTTCTTCAACAGATCTTATAGGAATTTCACTGGGCTCTCTTATGGTGTGATAATTTAGTAGACAGGGAAGCAGAAAAAATATCAAAGGACTAAGACTGTGGGATCTTGGTCTGACTCTGCTGTTACCATGTGGGGACCTGGGCAAGTGATGCTGTGAGTGGGACCCTCTGCCTCCCCCAGTTACCCATCTGTAAAATAACTGGATTAGACAACAGCTGTCCACTCATGTGTCAGTCCCAACCGGATTAGGAACAAAGCCTGGAAAAGTGTTTTGAGAAGGTTGCTTAGGCACAGTAGGGCTAAGTAGAAAATAGGACTTCAATCAATTAAAATTGTCTACCATAAGCACAGGAAAAAGGAGTATCCCGTGGGCCTGGCATTGACCATTCCAGAACCAGATAAGTCTTTTCAACCTTTTAACTCTTTAAAAGCTCAAAAAATTTGATAAATCCATAAGTCGGCCAGGAATCATTCATTTTTTATGAAACAAGATATGTTCTGCGAAAAACATCATTATATGAAATAGAAACCTCACACTGCTTTCTCAGATGAGAAAAGGAAAAAGGTTAGGCTGAGGGATATGAACAGAACCAAATGCTTAAGCCGAAATGAGAAAGAAATCAGTAACTTGACAAAGGGAGAAAAAGCAGCTTGATTACAACAAAGTGAAATAAGAACAGAGAGAGAACAATTAACTTAATTGTCTTGAGATAGCCTGTCATCTACTTGTTTATTTGTGACTTCATACACAGTCAAGATAAACAATGCCCTGATTATCTTTAATCTTGTTTAAAATGATAAAACTGCATTGAGTAGAAACATTTTAGTGATTAATTCTCTTATTAAGCATCTCTAAAATTACAATATAATATTTCCATGAACAATGCTCTATTATAGCAAGAGTTTTCAATCCCACAGATATAAGAGAGGTTTTAATTTAAATCTCAGGGGTGAAATTCATGCACTTTACCAGCAGAGCTATTAAATTAGGTAATCTGTTTTTTTCCTTGGGAAAATAGGAAGATTGTGAAATGTTGTGATGTATGAAAACCAGATTTATGAAATATGCTTCAAAAATGTACACTAATATAATGATTTTAACAATTCTATCCAAGACACAGCCTACATTCAAATTATCAGGAGAGTGGTTTTAATAATCTGGTATAAATTGTAAATGTATCACAAGCCTCTCTAAACTTATACCCAATTACTGAGTCTGATTAGACCAGTGAGTCTCAATGGGGGATGATTTTGCTCTCTATAGGACATTTGGCAATGTTTAGAGATATATTTGGTTGTCGCAACTCAGGGGTTGGGATGATGGAGAGTAATCTTACTGGCATCTAGTGGGTCGAGGCCAGGAATGCTGCTAAACATCCTGCAGTGTACAGGACAAATCTCCAAAACCAAGAATTTTCAGCCTGTAATGTCAACAGTGACAAAATTGAAAAGCCCTGAATTAGCCTGAGCTATCCCAAATAGTGTCTAACAAATCACAGTCAAAATACTTCCAAATCCTCCCTTATATTTGGGAAAAAAATTAGCCTTTTTATCCAGCTCAGACAGCTGACTCAGATAAAGTACCATTTGTCTCTTTTGAAATTCCTTTCACTCTAGTTTCATTATTTATCTTAATTCTCAATTTACCAAACATTTATGCAATGCTTACAACATGCCAGGCCCTTTTTAAAAGCACTTTACAAATATTCAATCAGTTCCTACCAGGTGATGTAGGTACTATTATGATCCCATCTTTATAAATGAGGAATCTGTAACAGGGAGAGAAGTTGTCCCTGGGCACACAGCTAGGAAGTAGCAGAGCCAGGAGGCTATAACCCAGGCTGTCAAATCTACGTTTGTAACCCCTGTGCTATGCCACCACTCACATTGTGTTGTAAAATTAAATCCATTGTTTTCCAAGTTCCCGTCGCAATCTGCTCACCCTGTTACTTTCACCAAAGTCTAGTTTCAACAGTAAGGCCTCTTTTCTGCCTCTCCCCATCACTTCTGTGGGTTGACCTGTGACCGCATTTTCCGGGAGAGCTTGAGATGAGGACAATGAAAACCACACAGTCCCAGGAAACTTTTGTTAAATGCCCACTGTCAGGCATTCTACAGATGCAATTTCTAATCCTCCTCCAGTCTTATCAAGTTTTCATCTCCATTTAATACATAAACCCAAGGTCAGAATTTAAGCGACTTTCCTAAAGCCACCCAGTTAAGAAGTGGCAGACACAGAATTTGGAGACTTTCTATGTCCAAAGCCAGTGCTCTTTCTGTGTCACCATGCAGTTGGGAACTGTGCATCTTACACGTGTTTCATGTGAAAGATAATGCATATAAAAGTAACAGAAAACCAACTGCACTCTCCCAGAGCACAGACTGCAGTTCAGACTCCAGCATGACTAGACCAGAGGGTGACCGCAGGTAACCATGGGCAGTTTCTAGCCACAGATGATTTGATTATTTCTCACAGTGGTTTTTAAAGGAAAATTGAAGTTCTTGTCAATATTTTAAAAATTGGGAGATTTCACACGCAACATTTTTTTGTATTTCTGATTTCTCTTGAAAAGTCAGGCAGATCTGTCAACACATGTCGATGTACATTCCTCCGAGGCAAAAATCAGCATATTTTCCCCAGTTCACTAGTTTAAGAGACATGCATACATTCTGCCAGCCAAGATTCTCTGTTCTACAATACTGCAGGCATTTTTGTATGGCTGTATAGTCCTAGTTTAGATTAAGAAAGTAGCTCAGATTAATGCAAGAGTCCTTGATCAGCATATTTACACATAGAATAACTCCTTAGCTGTTTTTGGTTTCTGGCCACTGTACCTCTCCCCAGTACCCATAGCCTTTATGTGCAAACAGTAAAGCCTTGGTTGATTGCTATTAGCAGGAAGGAAGAAAATTGCACTTAAAAACAGCGTGTCATGGGCTGAAGGTTAATGCTTACTTGGGGTTATTGCAGTGTCTCTCCTGATACTGGACCCCTCCACCACACGTCCGGGAACATTCTGACCACCTAGACCAGGCGGACCACTGGCCATGGATGGGCCGGGGCCCATGCTCTCCAAACTTTACACACTGGCCTTGCCGACACCACTGTGAAAAGAATGTGTTACATGGTTCTTAGAGACCACCTGGGAAAGCACAGGGAGATGCAACACCTGCCCAGTAATAGGAAAAACAGGTCTGTTGGCAAAAAGGAAAATGCATGATCCCTGATAGATCCCTTTCTTTGCTGTGCTTTATAAACACTTGGTTACTCCACCTTTACTGAATGCATTTGGGAAGGCTGACATCTGGAAAGAAGTGGCCTCTCTCACCAACAGGCTGAGTAGCCCATGTTTCAGGGGCTGTCGAGGAGAAATGTTCAGATAAGATTCCACCTAACAGCCGAGGCAGTCAGCACAGACAAAATAACAGAGCCCCCTTGCCTCTTAAAAGCAATACTACTTACATAGAGAACAATTCAGATCATTCACTTAAGGAGAAACAGTTTTCAGATACGAACACAGAATTTATCATTTTGAATGATTATCTCATCATAAAAACATAATTATACATACATTATATTTTTATTTTAAACCATCACTATAGTGCATTTCTTACGAAACTGAGTAACTTTCAGTCCGCACAAATCATGCGCTTCAGATACACTTCGTCCTTTTGTCTATATAAAAAGTTCCTACTTCAGACCCTCTGATGACTTTGAGCTCTTTCAGTGTCTTTGATGAATTAGCTCAGGCTCTTTCATTTGTCCATGATCTGCACAAGCTAGGCTGTTTTCTATGTTAACCTTTCCATTTTTGTAACAGATTCCAGGCTTTGCTGATCATCTCTCGCCCTGGGGTTGCATTAGCCTCTGGTAGTGTTTTGTTTTGTTTTGTTTTCCCCTGTGGTGCTTTTATTATGAACAAGTTCTGCATGGTTTAGCATAAATGCACACTTTCCTAAAAGCCTCTGCAATTAGATCCAAAGGGTTGGGGTTTGGATCCTGCCAGGTTTTGCCAAAGAGTAGGAGTTTGGTTACAGACATAGGGGGAGGTTGTTTGACATTCAAATCTGCACTTTTTCCCTGTGATACATTTGGCTTTGCAGCTGTTTATTGTGTTGCTTGGTTGTTAGTGCACTTGGTCTAGGTTAAGATATTGCTTCCTTCCTTCAAATTCTTGCCATGTGCTGATTAATTCTTCTGTTTTTAATTCTTCTGTACCCTGGATTAATTGCCATTTCGGAGTTTACATGAAATCATATAACATTGTGGAGAACTTTTGGGGGAAAGCGATAGGTCATTTGAGGATTTTGTCTACCCTAAGCACACATCTTCCTCACCAGGAATCACAGGGCCTCTACTGGACTGAGCTCAGCGGCTGAGGCAAAATAACAATAGCCAACAATTACAGCAGCAGAAACAACAACCACAGCAGCAGCAGCTACTATTTATTAAGTTGCTTCTATGGGACAAATATGGCGAGGAGAACTTTGCATGCAGTATCTTATAGAATCCTTGCAAAGCATTTAGGAAGTTAAAAGCTATTTTCTAGAGGAGAGAAATTTAGCAAAGAAATACTAACTAACTTGCTCAGAATCAAACAGCCACCCAAATAACTACACACATAGCAGAGACAGGATTTAACTCAGTAGCCGAAGTTCCTAATCAGGATACATTCTACTGCTTGCCTTGGAGGCAAATTACTGATCAATGTATGTTAATTCCAACCTAATTTCTTTTTTTGGAAATGTGTTTTTTAGATCTGTTCCAATCATTCCATTAAACTGACTTTCTATTATTTCAGTATTCATCCTATTATTGGGTCAGACTGCTGATAGATTGTCTCCCTCTGGCCTTTCTTTTTTTTTTTTTTTTTTAAAAGATGACCGGTAAGGGGATCTCAACCCTTGACTTGGTGTTGTCAGCACCACGCTCAGCCAGTGAGCAAACCGGCCATCCCTATATGGGATCCGAACCCATGGCCTTGGTGTTATCAGCACCGCACTCTACCGAGTGAGCCACGGGCCGGCCCTCCCTCTGGCCTTTCAATCAGTGTAGAAATCAGGAATATGTAGGAATATACACACAGAATGCAAGCATCCAACATGTAAATATAAAATTCTACATATAAAATGTAAACACAAACTACTTACATATATAATTTTATCCATCTATCCATACATACATATTTCTAGGGCTGCTTTTAATTTCAAATTAAATGGCCATGACCTGGGCCAATACCTTTTAATAGATTGCATGCACAAAACTTTTTTTTCTCGGCATACATATCTCTAAATAGAAGTGGCTTACACATTCTCATATGTTTATTGAGTATTCATAGTATAAGCATTGCTGAAGGACAAGGGACTGGAGAAGGAAGGGAAGGAGACGGTTGGGTTTTAGTTACCAAAAAAAAAAAAACAAACAAACAAATCAAAACAAAACGTTAAGCAGCTGCTACTCTGTGCCATACACTTCAGATAAAACATATGTCATGGCCCCGGCCTTCCTGGAGTTTACAGTGTAATAAATAGGCTGTTATACCCCTGGTGAAGGAAGAATCAGAGGAACACATACATGAATGCAATATTTATTATACTGGAGTGATGAAGGTGGAACTTATCGGGATGCTTTCTGCTGAGGGTGACCTTACTGTGAGGGTTTTCCCCCAGTATATAACTACAGCCGTGGTTATAAAATAATGGCAGGAGAGGTGTAGTGATATTAAGACATTTCTTTCTAACTTCTGGCTTTATTTATCTCATGCTCTGTTTACTGAAGTCTAATCCAGGTGCATTTTAATCTCCATGGATCTTAGATCTCTGGTGTATTTATGTAATAAACCTTAGACCTATGCTATGTATCGCTTATTTTTTTTTACTTATTTATTTATCTTTGGCAGCTGGCCAGTATGGGGATCTAAACCCTTGACCTCGGTGTTACAATGTTGTGCTCTAACCAACACTATGCTCTAACCAATGGCTCTAGCCAGCCCTTTTTCTCATTTGTTATATCAATCTTTTCTTGTATATCCCTTCTTAATGTTTAATGCCGTTGCTTTTTTAATGAAAAATAAAAAAAGCCCATTAATCCTTATGTTGCAAATTCTAAATTTTGAAGTAGGAAAAAGGAAGGGGGTGAGGGGTTAGCAAGAAATTGGCTAATGGACATAAAGAATGATTATGTTTTATAAAGATGAATATGCTAATTATTCTGATTTGACCATCACATATTGTACACAAGTATTGGTAGTAAACTTTGTACCCCAGAAGTATGCATAATCAATTATGTTTCGATAAAAAAAAATAAAAATAAAAATGACTTGAGCAGTATTTATATTTTCAATTATTCAACTAATTCAGTGTTTTATATTATCACAGCTACAACATTTCTATTAACATTTTCAATGAGAATCCTTACTGGGATTTCCTAAGACCAACCAGTACATCTGATTAAAAATCACACATAACTCCTCAATTTCTAAAAATTTTTATTTTCTTTAAATAAAAAAAGTGAAGCATTACAAATCTTCAAAAAGAAATGGAATAAATGCCCTAAAAAATATTGGAAAGCATTTGCTGCACACCCATTTATTTTCATGTGTCTGTGCCCTTGCCTCTGTTGTTGGTCTCTCCCAGGAGAGTCTCTTATCCCACTGAAGAACTCCAACTCAACCTTCAATGTCCACTTTGGTGTTCCCACTCATTGTGGATAATTTTTTTTTTTTTTGAAAAAGATGGCCAGTAAGGGAATCCTAACCCTTGACTTGGCGTTCTCAGTACCACACTCTCCCAAGTGAGCCACAGGCTGGCCCTTCACTGTTGCTACTTCTAAGTGCATACCTAATCCCAAGTGCACACCTAATCCCAAGTGCATACCTAATCCCAATTACATACCTAATCCCAATTACATACCTAATCCCAAGTGCATACCTAATCCCAAGTGCATACCTAATCCCGAGCAATATTCATTTCTCATTCATCATGATTTGTTCATCAGGGGACTTGATGGCAATTAGTGCTTAAAGAAGGTGTGTTTAGAAAGAGAGAGCTGTTGGCTCTGCATAGGTTTCCCCACTGGACTGTGAATTCTTGAATTGATAGAACTGAGTTTTATTCACCTCTAAATCCCCAGAGTCTTCTGTCTCTGATATCTACTAGTCAACAAATTACTGAGGAAATGAATTCACTTTAAATGACCAATTCTTCTACACAGGCTTGTGCTGCCTTGAGCGAGAGCCAGTAACAGAGATCAACAAAGCTGTAGCATCTCATACTCTGTCACCATGCAGAGCTCCTCTATTGCAGTCTTTCAAGTGAACTCCCCAAATCTAGACCATTCTGACACCTCAGTTGTATCTTTCCCTCCAGACTCTACCAGGAAAGGGTAAGAAAAGTAGAAACTAATATACGAGAGTTCTTCACTGGAAACATAGAGAGCTCCCATTATCTTCCACAATGGAGATGGTTTTTTACGGTTGAAGATGTTCACTAGCAAAAAGACCTTATGGGACAAGCTAGATGGAGATGTCTCTCGCTCTTTAATAGGAAAGCCACCATAAGTGATGGGAATCTATGAGACATGTTAGAAGCTCGAGGACAGGTCCTGCGAGTTGAGGTGAATAGCAGAGGCCTTGGTCTAGAAGGACAGTCATTTTTTTTTACTACTAACGGGGACATCTGCTCCCTAAGGCTTTTACATATTGCATCAAGTTTAAAAGGCAAATAGTATACAATGAAATCTATTAGCTCATTGAAATTTTGACCGAAGCCTCCATCTAAGCAAGGAAAACACAGGCAAAAAAAGAAAATCTTCTTAAACACTTGAGCTAACTGGGTTATACTAGCATTAAGTTTTATAATTGCTGCTAAATAATGCTGGTTAATTTAAAGAGA